ATAGAGTCTAAAAAATAAAATATAAACCCCCCCCCAGTTTCTCCCAGATGCCATCTGAATACAACTTCCGAATATTGTGAGTGCTGGAAGAGCGGCACCATCCTGTGGCTCCAGGACTCATTCAAATGCCAGACAGAAAACAAGACTTTATTCTATTCATTTCCATAGTAATTGCCTAGATGGAGTTTTAGTTGATGTTCCTGAAGTTCTCTCTCATTCAAGTCCAAACTCACTTTGAAACCCAAGGAAAGAAACTATCACTATAGTTGGCTCCACCGACTGTGCTGGGAAGATCCCTGGTATTTGGAGTCACCGCTGCTTGGCTTTTAAGTAGGGGCAGGGCAGCATAGGAGACTCCATGTCAGACCCAGAAAATCACATTTGGCTAGCCACCAGTGGCCAGTTTAAAATCAGATTTTTCTGACTGATTTGCAATAAAATTATTCCTAATCTCTTTACAAAACTGTTTCTGGCCAGCAATAATTTGTAAAGAGAGCAGATGGCAGTGTAACAGACACCCACAGTGTTCCCACCTCTTGGTGTTCATGCCCTGAGTAATTCCCTTCCCTTTGGTGCTGGCAGGGCCCATGGCTTGCTCCTAACTAATAGAATACAGTACAGGGGATGGGATATCACTTCTGTGGTTGTGTTACATAAGATTCTTCACCTTGCTAGCTGACTCTTTTGATTGCTTTCTTGGCTTGAAGGCTTTAAGCAAATAACCATGTTAGGAAAACTTAAGTGTCAAGGAACTGAGGGTGACATCTGGCCAGATCCTTCCCCAGCCAAGCTTTCAGCTGAGACCCCAGCCCAGACTGCCACCTTGATTTCTACTTGAGAGAGACCTTGAAGGAGAGGATCCAACCAAACCATGCTCAGGCTCAAGTCCTGCCCCATAGAAACTGAGAAAATAAATGTGTTGTTTTAAGTTGCTAAGCTTGTGGTAATTTGTTACACAGCAGTAGATAACTAATAGAGTGTCTTAGCCCTCTGCAGGCCCAGCCAAACTTATCTCTGGCTTTCCCCAGGGTGTGCCAAAGGAACTGACATTCCAGGGGGTCAGCTCTCAACCAATGACCGTCAGGAGTTCATGGATAAAGAGCCTGGATCCATGATCCGAGGTGTTGGGAGGACACCTCTGGGGCATGTGCCTCCGCAGGACTGAGCCTCAGCTGCCCACAGCAGTAACCTGCTCAGTCATGCATCTTTCATAGGCTGCTTCCTTCCGGGCATCACTTTCCCTCTCCCCTGTGGATGTTTCCTTTCCTCAAGTAATCCATAAATCATGGCCTGCTTTTAGGGGAATCCAATTTTAGACAGGAGATGGGGCCCAGCCAGCGTGGCTCAATGGTTGAGCATCAACCTATGAACCAGAAGGTCACAGTTCGATTCCAGGTCAGGGCACATGCCCAGGTTTCGGGCTCTATCCCCAGTGTGGGACGTGCAGGAGGCAGCTGATCAATGATTCTCTCTCATCGTTGATGTTTCTCTCTCTCTCTCCCTCTCCCTTCCTCTCTGAAATCAATTTTTTAAAAAAAGGCAGGAAATGCGGGAGAAACTATGCTTTCAGAGCAAGAACGATGATAAATTCTAAGTCTAGAACTCCCGAAGACCCCACTCTCCCAACAAGCGGAGGTTCAGCCACTCTGTGGCCGTGGCTTGCTGTGGAGAGAGAACTGGGCGTCCAAGGCCTGGGGCTGCAGCCTCCGTCTCAGTGACTCTGTGGCCTCAAGAAAGACTCTGCCCCGAGGTCTCACTTCCCAGCTGTAAAGTGAGGGAACAGTGCTTACCCTCTTTTTGGGGCTGAGTTGTGTCCCCACAAAATCCCTATATTGAAGAGCTAACGCCTAGTACCTCAGAATGTGACTTTATTTGGAGTTTGGTCTTAAAACAGATAAGTAGTGAGATAATTAGAGAATTTAAAAAAAGGTCATAGGAGTGGGCCCTAATCCAATGGAATGGGTGTCTATAAGGAGGAACATGGACACAGACTGGCACAGAGGGAAGATCACATACAGACACAGGGAGAGGGCAGTCATCGCAGCCACAGAGAGAGGCGTCAGAAGATTACACCTTGATCCCTTGATCTCGGATACATTTCTGTTGTTCAAGCCATCCAGCCTGTGGTACCTTGTGATGGCAGCCCTAGAAAACCCAGCCAATCTCCCACCACCCAGGACTGCCGGGCAAACAAAATGGGACACCCAATGAAAGTATTGACAGTCTGATTACTGATTAAAATGAAATAACCAGCAACTGTAACCCCAGCCCCAGGAGGGAAGAGCCAGGCAGGGCAGTGAGTCCCCACACGCAGTTGATGGAGAAGCCCCAGGCTCAGACTCTAGTGTCTAGGCCAGTGATGGCGAACCTTTTCAGCTCGGCGGGTCAGCATTTTGAAAAACTCTGATGTTTCTCTCTCTCTCTCCCTCATATAGAAATTTTTTGATCTTTGCAACCATAGTAAAACAAAGATTTATATTTTTGATATTTATTTTATGTATTTAAATGCCATTTAACAAAGAAAAATCAACCAAAAAATGAGTTCGCGTGTCACCTCTGACACGCGTGTCATAGGTTCGCCATCACTGGTCTAGGCAGTGGTTCTCAACCTTCTGGCCCTTTAAATACAGTTCCTCATGTTGTGACCCAACCACAAAATTATTTTCGTTGCTACTTCATAACTGTAATGTTGCTACTGTTATGAATCGTAATGTAAATATCTGATATGCATGATGGTCTTAGGCGACCCCTGTGAAAGGGTCGTTCCACCACCAAAGGGGTCGTGACCCACAGGTTGAGAACCGCTGGTCTAGAGGAAAGGCAACTCTTGTTACAAAGTGGCAAAGGACTTGGCTAAATTGTGCTTTCAGTGTTTTGTAGAAGCAGAACTTGCAAGTGATGAAATTGGATATTTAGCAGAGTAGATTTCTAAGCAAACTATTGAAGGTGCAACTTGGGTCCCTCTTACTGCTTATAGTAAAATGTAAGAGGAAAGAGATGAATTAAAGAATTTTTAAACAAAAAGGAACCAAAACTTGCAGATTTGGAAAATTCTCAGCCCACCTATATTGCAGAAGGTGAGAACGCTTGCTCTGAAGAGAGCATTAAGGGTATAGCTGGACAACCATTTGATCATGAGATCATGGGGACAACTTCTGGACTTAATCAGCCATCTCAAAAGAGGCCAGGAATAGAGATGGGATTATACCAGCTATGATACTGTCAGTTTGAACTAAAGGGGACGGAGAAAACAGGCCAGAATGAAGGCAGGTGTTGGACTTCCTGGATTCTACAGAACCAGACCATAGAATTATCTGGTTGTAAACATGCACTACTCTTCAAGGAGGCGATTCAGAGATCAGGGCTGCTGCTCTGACCACAGGCCCAGGAGGCAAGTCTATTTCCTCCGGGTTTCAGAGGGCAGGGCCATCACTGCAGAGACCTCTTTGTGTGGGGGAGGGGGGTAGGAGGGGAGTAGGAGGGGCGTGATGCTGCCAACCCAGGGCTCCTGGAAGGTGGGATGTTGAGCCACAGGGGATTATTGTGAAGCCATAAGATCTAATGGGACTTGCCTGGCTAGTGTTGAGGCCTGCATGGGACCCATCATCCTTTATTCTTCCCTATTTCCCTTTTGGAATGGGAATGTCTATCCTATGCCGATTCACCATTGCATTTGGAAACACATAGCTTGTCTGGTTTCCCAGGATCACAGCTGGAGGAGTTTTGCCTCTGGATGAATCATACCCAGAGTCGTACCCAAGTGATATACATACTTAGATGAGACTTTAGACCTCAGACTTTAAAGTTGATGCCGGAATGAGTTAAGGCTCCTGGGGCTGTTGCAATGGAATGAATGTATTTTGCATGTTATAAGAACATGAGTTTGGGGAATTAGGGGCAGAATGCTATGGACTGAATTGTGTGCCCCCCCCCAAAAAAATATTCATATGTTGAAGCCCTAACCCCCAATGTGACTACTTGGAGACCATTAAAGTTAAATAAGGTTCTAAGGGTGGGACCTTAATCCAATAGAATCCGTGTCCTTATAAGAGGAAGAGGGTCCAGAGCTTGCTCACTCACACTAGCTCTCTACTATGTGAAGCCACAGAGAGAAGGCAGCTGTCTGCTACCCAGAAACCAAACCTCCTAGTCCTTGATCTTAGATTTCCCAGTCTCCAGAACTTCGAGAAATAAATTTCTGTTGTTTAAGCCACTCAGGCTATGGTATTTTTTATAGCAGCCCAAGCTAACTAATACATGTTTTGTGCCCCTGTTTCCCCATCGGTAAGACAGGGATAATCGTGGCTACCTATGAGGACAGTTGTGAGGAAAGTTAACATAGAAAAATATGGAGGGCAGAACCCAGCATACTTTAAGTGCTATGTCTCTTTGAGGAACTGTTATAAAGGTGAAGACGGCCTCTATGCTCAAGGTGCTTGGGTGTCCAGCTTGCACAAGGTGCCATAGGGCCTTAGCTAGGTATTGAGCTAACCCGGAAAATTCTCACTCCCATTGGCTAATAGTTACAACTCCACATTCTTCAAGCTTTAATTTGTATTCCTCTTAAAGGTTAATTTTCCCAGGAAAGGTTAGCAGTCACTTATTTCTCAGGTAATGAAAACAGATGGAATGAAAGATATTAGGTGTAGGATCTGAGAGGATGAGGACAGAGACCACTGGAGGGTTGAAGAATAAGAATGCAGGCTGAAGGCCCTGAAATGAAAACAGATGGAATGAAAGATATTAGGTGTAGGACCTGAGAGGATGAGGACAGAGACCACTGGAGGGGTTGGAGAATAAGAATGCCGGCTGAAGGCCCTGCAGCCTATTTCTTCAAAGCATGAAATTAAGGAGAAAGTACAGTTGAGTAGATTTGTAACAAGCAAGGCCATTTAAAGGGTAATGGTAAACTTTGAATTATCACTCACACAGAAAAAATCATTAAAGACTCCAAAACTGCAATTTATTTGTCTGCAGAATATAGACCTGCACCAGTTTTTTCACTTTTCATATTTGGAACCTGAAACACAGAAGAGAGTTTATTGTAAATGCTAAAGATAAGAACAGACAGGTCACAAAAGAAATATCTAAAAACTTGTTCATTTCATTAATAATCAAAGATGTTTGCATTTAAAGACATCATTTTTACCCAGTAAAAATCTATCATTTTAATAGATCCTACTGTTGGCAAGGATATGATGAATTCAGCACTCTTACATAGATGATAGTATTATAAATTAGCACCATGCACCAAGTCATAGATTGTACCTACCATGGCTCAGGAGTTCTACTTCTGGGAATCTATACTTTAAAAAAATACAGAAAGAGTGAAACACATTTGGTTATTTGCCATGTTTATGAGAACAAAAACCTGAAAACAAATATCTGTCTATTAGAAAACTGTCCAATTTAATGAGCCATTAAAACTTGTAATAAAGACCATATATTAACCTCTAAACATGCCAACGGTAGAATAAGGAAAAACAGAACACACAATGTTATCTACCCCATGGTAATTTCTTAACTCAGTTGTATACAAAAAAAATATTTGAAAGCATTTTAGAATATATCCATCAGTGGTTTTACTAAGATCATTTTGTATCCTCTCAATTTTCTGAAATCTCAACTTGAAGAAAAAACAGATGCATGACTAAAAAAATAAACTCACTTAAATGATGGTCAGGCAGTTTGTATATCAGAACTTAGATGTGTGTCACTGTGGATAATAAAACACCAAATGCTTTAACTTAGGTTAAAGTTCTTATTTATTTCCTAGTCCCCTCTCATTCACATTTCAAGGGTGAGTTTTGTCAGAATGAAAGGCTGTTACAGGATTTAACACTATTTCCCACATCCCACTGACTCACTGAATATTGAGCAAGTTACTTAAACTTCTGTCCCTTAGTTTCCTGACATGTAAAATGGATATAATTGTCTGTACATCACAAGTTGGTTACAAAACTTAATAGGTTAGTAGGTACCATCTTCCAGGAACAGTGTCTGGCACAACATAAGTATCAACAACTATTTTTCCCCTGACCTCGATTAAGCCTTTTCACTATCCATGTGATCAAGCTTTCTTTTCTTGAGTTCAAATTTAGCTTTAGACATTTTATTTTAAAAGTTTTTATATAATCTAGAAGGTTTTAAACCTAAGAGACAAATTCATGTAATATTGTGTTTACTTGAAGGGTTAAAGGGTAATTTAATCTTACCAGCCTATAGTCTAGTAGTATATTATATATCATTGTCTTAGTGTTTTTCTTAAGTGTTTCCTGGAAAATCCGAAAAGGTAATATTTAAGCATCAGAATATGAAAACTTAAATTTTATTAATGTTGTCTGGTTCTCACAGTTCATTAAAAAGAAAAGCCTGTTGGCCTCATCTAAGTCAATGCGTTACAGGACCAAGAAGAGTGTGGTCTGAGGAACAGAAACCCAGCTTGCTGCCCAACTGCTTTAATAAAGCAGGTGCACTCCTGTTGTTGGGCGTGTTGCTGGATAATTTGACATATTATCCAATGTACTTTTCCCTCCATCTAGTCCTTGATCTTAGATTTCTCTCATCCACTCAGTCAAGGCTTGGGGTTGGGATGGGTGGCAGCAATAGAGGAGAATGGCAAGAATTGGATGGAAGTTTCCCTCAAAGGTAGAGGCTGGCCTTCCTTGGACAGACAGCACTTTGGGTTAGCAGAAAACCAAATGCTAAGACCACCTAAGCTAGTACTTGAGGGAGGTCAATATGTCCTTCCACCTTTCCCCCTTATTCTAATCCTGGGTTATCCAGAATAGGTCAAGGGCCATTACACGTCAGAGAAATAAAAAGAAAGCATTGGCCTTCTCAAATTATGCTGACAGGTTTAGGAGCACAAACCAGGTAGAGTTCTTGCCAAACACACTTCACACACATACACATGCATGCACACACAACATACCAAAACCCACTTCCATGATTGATTCGACCTTTTGTCCTCATAGAAAAATTAGAGTTCCAACAAACTCCCTCTCTTATTTTTGCAAAGAAATAGAAATTTGTCTATCCTCTAACTTTTTAAAAATCTTCATCAGATTTGGCTTTAAGAGTCTTCCTTAGGTGCTAGTTGGATCTCTTCCCAAGTAGCTGCAGCCTCAGGAATCCTCCACCTGAATCACTCCAAAGTCAGATGGATCCCATCCTGCATGTCCCAGATCTCACCCTTCCAATGTTCCAGAGAGGACGACCAGCATCCGTATCATCACAGCCCCAAACCCTCAGTGCCCAAAGTTCAGAAGACACAATAACACCCTAGAGCCAAATGCAACCACTGGCACAGCCTTCCCTCTGAACCTCAGTGCCCTTGGTCTGGGGCTGCAAAGTTAAATGCCTAAACTGGTGAAGTAATAGGGGTGGTGGAGACCAACAAACCAGAGAACACCCACCCCATCAAAAAGGAAGTTCAGTTTTTTTTAAATACTCTGTTGGCTAAACTTATCAGAATATGGCCCCTAGGCTACCAGTGAACACTGGGGCAGACAAAAGTGCTTCCTAAGGAAAAGCCTAGGCCAGTGATGGCGAACCTATGACACGCGTGTCAGAGGTGACACGTGAACTCATTTTTTTTGGTTGATTTTTCTTTGTTAAGTGGCATTTAAATACATAAAATAAATATCAAAAATATAAATCTTTGTTTTAATATGGTTGCAAATATCAAAAAATTTCTATATGTGACATGGCACCAGAGTTAAGTTAGGGTTTTTCAAAATGCTGACACGCCGAGCTCAAAAGGTTCGCCATCACTGGCCTAGGCCCACCCCACTGCATGGTTAGGGTTTTTGCTAAAACACACAGCCACTACCTGGGGGAAATGTGAGAGGGAAGACAGAAGGATAGATGCTTCCGGGCTTTCCCTGGGTGATGATAAATTAATCCCAACTCATTCCAGAGCTTAAAATGCCATTAGAAGCAATGTCTGCAGTGATTGCTTTCACACGGAGATTACCACAACCTGCAGAGGAAGTAGTAGAAATCTACCACCCACACAGCTTTCCTTCTCTGAGAAACGCTTTCCCAGGACTGCTGCCCGGACAGGCCAAGATTTAGAAGTGTGTGGTGGGGACACCTCCGGGCCTCATAATAGACACCATGTTTATCCATCTCTCTCTTTCCAGAGCTCCTCTGACCCAGCACAATTGGCACCTCACCCCAACACTGAAGGTGGCCTTTGTACAGCGACACAACCTCCACAGGATCACAGGCCACTCTGAACAAAATTCAGAGTCTTGCGTGATTTGAAATGCCCACATCATAGCCACGCATGACAATAGAAGGAGTCAACAATGGTGGTTTATTCAACATCTTGCCGCCCAGCAATGCCCAATCCCCAAACAGCAAGATCTTACACCTGCAAGTCCAATTCTAAATGACATCTAACCACTGTTTTTAGGATGGAAGAGGCTCTCGAGCCTAACAACACACATACGGTTAAGGCATTGCCACCTACTAAATTAGCCTCGTCTGGACCTTGACATTAATCCCTATCCCCACCCCGGCCAGATGCTGTGGCATCACCTGGCCCACAGCCCTCTCCATCCACACACATACTTGCTGATTCAGTCCCCCAAGTGAACCTACCCTCGCCTGAGAAATTAATCTCCATTCCTACCATCAGCAGATCTTATGTACTTCGTTTGGAATTTTGCCTCTCAGGAATGTTGCTGATCTTGCATAGCCTGTTCAGACACATCCCCAAATCCCAAAATATGACCATCTCTGCCAGCATCCGGAGTCCACTCCTCAAATCCTCTCCAAGGGCAAGAAGGGCTAAGTGGGACATCAGGTTGGCAACTTACTTTTAAATGGGTCAGGAGAAACATTCTTTGTACTGTACTTGCAAGTTTTCTACAAGTGGATTATTGTTTCAGAATAAATGTTTTTATTTTTAAAAATGATTTGAACATCAAACTATAAGAAACCCTTGACAAAACTGATGAAATCCTAGAACACTTCTGCAAAAAATGACTCTCTATATTCAGGCCTTAGAGAGCACACAGAAGTTATAGGCATATATTAAAAATCTAAAATTTATGAATTCTTTATTTTAAGAATGAGAGGCCCGATACATGAAATTTGTGGGGGCGGGAGGGTCCCTCAGCCCAGCCCGTGCCCTCTCGCAACCCGGGACCCCTCGTTCCTAATTGCCTGCCTGCTTGGCTCGCCACTCTTCAGCGCCTGCCATGGAGGCGGGAGAGACTCCCACCACCGCTCCCCAGCCGTGAGCCTGGCTTCTGGATGAGCAGCGGTCCAGCTGTGGGAGCACACTGACCACCAGGGAGCAGCTCCTGCATTGAGCATCTGCCCCCTGGTGGTCAGTGCACGTCATAGTGACCAGTCATTCTGGTTGTTCTAGAGGCCCGGTGCACGAAAATTCGTACACTGGGGGGGGGAGGGGTCTCTCAGCCCAGCCTGTGCCCTCTCACAGTCCAGAAGCCCTTGTGGGGGGAGGGGGGGACGGCGGGGGAGTGCTCAGCCAGCAGTTGGACATCCTTAGTGCTGCCGTGGAGGCCGTAATTTCAGCTTCTGGCTGAGTGGCACTCCCCTTGTGAGAGCGCACTGACCACCAGGGGGCAGCTCCTGCGTTGAGCATCTGCCCCCTGGTGGTCAGTGTGCGTCATAGGGAGCGGTTGAGCGGCCTTAGCATATCATTAGCATATTACGCTTTGATTGGTTGAATGGACGATCAGATGACTGGACACTTAGCATATTAGGCTTTTATTATATAGGATTAGCACACTCTTCCAATTAAACTTGGTTAGCTAAAAGACTAAAAATGAAGTGTTTTGTTCCCTATCTAAAAGAAATTTTCAATCAGAACTTTTGTTTCCTACTAGAAAAAGTTAATCCCTACTTTAAATCAATTTACTAGAAATGGCCTATCTCCAGGATCACTTATCCTTGGAAGACACGGGTCTCCTATACGTCCTTGCTGCTGGTGTCACCAGCATAGTCTTGCTCTGCTACGAGGCCCAACAGGACTGGCAGAAACGGAACAGCCGGTTAGCTCACCATGAGAATGGCATGGTGATGCCCACCTGATAAGCATCAGTGGGGATTAAATGCAAGTAAGATTCTAGCCTTACTACTCTAGTACATATTAAAACTTACATTTGTGGAAGCATTACTGTTATTAACTTAGATAGCCAGGTTCAAGTTTCAGTTCAGGTCAGATCTACATTCTTTTCTTTCATTCTCAGTCAGTTGCTGTCAGCTTATGTAGTAGCAACAGGAATTCTGTCTCCTAAGGGTTGATTGGCAAGGGAAGGTTTATATCTCAAATGGCCCAGAATTTGAAAATCTAGACGAAGTATGTGCACAAATGGAGTACTTAGAAAAGAGTAATCAAATCAGAAATGGTAACCAAAGCCAGCCGGTCAGCAGGAAGCCTGTAAGACCTCAAACCTGAGTGGAGCATTGGCGAGAGGCATGTGAGAAAACCCTGAACACTTGCTACAAACACAGCTAAAGTGTCTGTGGCTCATTGTTGATTGCTCACCAATCAATGCTGATTGCTCGCCAATCAATGTGATTGCTCATGGTGCATCAAGCAGACTTAATAATGTATGTGCAATTGAACATTGACATGCCAGGTACTGTGCTAGACACTTCACTGACATGATGCCATTTGAACCTCACAGTTGTTACTATAAACTCCTTGTTATTACTTAGAAAATGCTACCTTATAACAAGACCAATTTATTTAAGTGTGTGTGTGTACATGCGTGTATATGCTATGACCATGCAGCTTTATGTATGGCGATCTAGTACTTATTTCTTTTTCTAGAGTCCTCAGGGTCCAGAAAACCTTTTGATATATTAATGAGGGTCATAAATAAGCTTAGGTCTATGATAAGTGGTTCTGGAGGAGTTGGCTTCCCCTTGGGCTGCTTACTGGTTCATTTGGGGACATAATAATAGATCTTCCAAATTAGCCAACTCCATCTTGCAACCTAAGTGCTTTCACAAAATGATCTTGTTTCAATAATGATTCATCATAAAAAATACCACACACTTCAAGGGAAGCATTTTGAATTTTTTTTTAATCTATACTGCAATTTAAGAAGAAAGACTTTACCATACTCCTGGTAGGGGAGTAACTCCAGTTGTAGACATCACGCTCTGGCGACAAGTGCAGGCTGGTTCACCACTGCCACCATCTGCCCAGGGCCCTTCCTCCTCATTCTTCAAGCCCACATCACAGCCAGCACATCGAGTGCTGTTCCTCAATTGCTCTTTAGCCATGGATGTACGTGGTTCGGAAGTACTGTTTATATAGTTCTGATGATCTGGGTTTTCTTTCTAGAAATCATATTTAGTTGTCAAACGCTATGACAGTCAGACTTTGAAGATTTAAATCAATATATTTCAAAATTGTAATGGATAACATTTAAGTTATAAGGGCAATTCTTAAGTTATGGAGAGAAAAATCATTGCTCAATGGACTGTATTTTGTTTTTCTATAACCTTAAAATGTTGTGCAATGGGCCACTGCATTTAAAATATTATAGCAACATGGGACAGATCCTGTACTTTAATGAAAACAGCATAAAACTAAGCGCTTCTGTTACACAAGAAACATACAAGAAAAAAACTAAGGCAGGAGAGAAAAATCATTGCTCAATGGACTGTATTTTGTTCTTCTATACCTTAAAATGTTGTGTAATGGGCCACTGCATTTAAAATATTATAGCAACATGGAACAGATCCTGTACTTTAATGAAAACTGCATAAAACTAAGCGCTTCTGTTACACAATAAACATACAAGAAAAAAACTAAGGCGGCCACTTGTATATCTGCAAACTATGGCCATGCTAAACCCAACTATCCAATTTGGCCAGTAGGACAATCCATTCCTGTAGAATGTGTCCTTCCGGTCATCACTTAAGAAGGACTAGTATACAAGAAAAAAAAACACCCCAAAAAGTACAATTATGCACCTGGCTATTTCTGCCTTAAGTTTATAGAATGATTGTTTCTCTTCTGGTATCTGTCCTTCAATTCTGTCCCTAAACACGGACCCACTGCTACTTGGAAAAGACCTTTACTGGCTCTAACAGCTTTTCTTCTCCCTTTGGTTTTTAACCTTTCCTTCCAGTCTCAGACTTCCAGGCTGAATGGACTTGAAGTTTGCCACTTCCCTCTGCTTAGACTCCAGATTTTTAGCAATAACACACCCGCAACCCCCTACCAGCTGGCTTCCAGCCATTCCTATTCCACATCTCAAATGCTGGACTTGGTTGCCTTTCCTGAGCTCTCTGTGCTCCTCCCACTGCTTCCCACCCCCAGATTTTCAAGATTCCCCCGTCCCTGACTTTAGGACCCATCTTGCTTCTCTACTACCTTCCTACCAACTTCTCTCTGATGGCTCCTCCTTCCTCCTGTCAATAATGTCACTTAGGCCTTTCCTCTCTTCATATTTTACCTCCTCTGATGACGAATCCATTCTCTGGCTTTCAAGGTTTGCCTCTCCATGGAATGAGCCCATAAAATCATCCCCCTGTCTTCCACTGCCTAATGGACACTTCTGAGCCATGCATTCTGAGAACAGTGGTGACGTTATGGTGCTTCGCAGATTGCAAAGAAGGTTCATTTGATTGCTGTCAGCAGACTATTGCTGGGCTCTCCAGCAGGGTTGCCCTTTCGGGAGGACCTTTCCCAAGGGCGATCCCTTTGGGATAGAAATGCCTCTTCCTTTCTGGGTCCTGTCTGGTGTTTCTCTTGCTGAAGAGAATCCACCACCACAGTGTGGGTTTATGGGAGCCTCCTCTCATGACCCAGCTATCAAGGTTCTATGAAAGATTCAGCATTTAGGAGCTCAGGGCCCAGGGCCATGACAGAAGGTATAGAGATGGTCAGGAACATGACTCCAAATCTTACACAGACTTACACTCAGGCCCTGCTCCTGACATTTCTTAACCGCGTGGCCTTTAACTGTATTTTGTGTTCTTCCTCTATAAAATGAGGACCATAAATACCTCAGAGGGTTGTTATAAACTAACTGGAATGTATACATAAATTGCCTGGCACATACAAGGGCTCAATACATGATAGATCTCATTGCTCTAACTTCCTAAACCTTTACCTCGGAGTCTTTGGCTCTTCCCAAAACATCACCGAGGACTCGTATGTATTCAGTTGCACCTTTAAGAATATCCACTTTGCTAGGCTTCCTGCTTTGAGGAAGAAATGGCACCAATGCCTTCAGTTTGGAAAAACCACGGTTGAGATTTTTTATCTGGAAAACAAAAAGGCACAGTGAGAACAGAGAAGCCAATTTGTACAGACATCCCCCCAAACCACAGAAGGGGGCTTTGAAGGCTCCCTTCCACAGCTCTCTTGTCTGGGTGGGGCATCTAAGCAGGCACATGCCACAGAGTCACCACTTCACCGACAACAGTCCCTGGCGAGGAAGGGGAGGGGGAGTGTCATAAACTCAGCACTGTGGTGGACAGGCTAGAAGGAGTGTCTATGTTCACTTGATCCCTTTCTGTTCCTCTGAGAACACAACCACTGCACTGTGACGCAGAGGCAGTAGGGGCAGTGGCTAAAAGCTCTGAGTCCACACAACTGGGTTTAAAGCCCAGCTCTACCATTTAGCTTTACAAGAGTCTTAGGATACTTCACATCACCAACACTTGGTTTGCTTATCTGCAAAATGAAAAATACCTGCCTTGTACTATTTTTTGTTATAACTCTTCAACTTCTTGCCTAGCTGAGTGGATGATTTAGAGTAAGAGTCCAGAGAGTCTGCATGTTGGTGAGACTCAAAAGGTAGAATGAGATGCTTTTTTTTTTTTTCAAATATCCAGGGTCTAGTTCCTCAGCTCCAAAGCCCGAAAGTGTGACAATATCCCCCTAGGGGACACAGGTCTTGAAAGACCTGGCTCCTACTCTACCATAAAGCCAATGTACTCACATAGCAAGCCTCTCCCACCCCACATCAAAGTGGACTAAGGACAGAGTCAGTCCATTCACCACAGAATAAAATAACCAGGAAACATGAAATATTGAACTTGAATAATCAAAGAACTATAAATTATAACAGAAACAGGTGCCGTTTTTCATGTGCCACGCTGGTAAGATTGTTGTTTTGGTTTGTTCATCATACCCAGTATTGAGGACGGAAAAGGGAATGATCCTATATCTTGTAAAAGGGGATAAAAGTTGGTAACTCCTCTAGAAAACAATTGGAAAACTTGCATCAAAAGTTGAGACTGTATGTATCCCAGTAATTCCACATCTAGCATTTTATTCTAAAGTAATGAGCAGACATGGACAGAGTTTATGTACCATAATAAGTTGCAAAGAGCACACATGTCCCACAATAGGAGACTGGGTAAGTTATGGTCCATTTCTAGGTCAGTCTATGCCATTAAAAGTAGCTCTTTGTCAGCCTGCAGACTGAAAGGTCCCAGGTTCGATTCCGGTCAAGGGCATGTACCTTGGTTGCGGGCACATCCCCAGTAGGGGGTGTGCAGGAGGCAGCTGATCGATGTTTCTCTCTCATCGATGTTTCCAACTCTCTCTCTCCCTTCTTCTCTGTAAAAAAAATCAATAAAGTATATATTTTTTATAAAGTTGCTCTTTGAAAGCATGCTTAGGGATATGAGGAAATGCTTTTGATAATGTTAAGTAGTGAAAAAGATACAAATATATCTTCAATATGTGTACTAGATGGTTACAACTTTGAGAAAATTATATCTAGGGTGTCCCCCAAAAATGTATACATACACTTTGAATAACTTCAAAGGCAGGGTTTATTAAAATGCATTTCATTTTCAAAATTGAGCTATCAATTAAAGTGTGTATACATTTTTGGACACTGTATATATATACACATAACTAGAAAAAAAGACTGGGAGCATGTACACAAAGAATGATAGCTCATTGTCATCATGTTTGTGTCATGGGTGTTTCTGTTCCCTATATAGTCATCTGTATATTTTCCACATATTCATTGCATCATTATAAAGAATAAAGGGGATTAGTTTTAAAATAGTGGATAACACCAGGACGAATTCTCCACAGAAAGCGATTCCTTCCTGGTGGGGAGGCCCACACAAAATGCAAAATATTGGATCCGAATCTTGTTTGAGGGCCACATCATCACAGCAGATCACAGGGTTATTTTCATGAAGAGTCTAGTGTCTGGTAAAATCATGCTTCTCCACTCTTGCAAGTTTCCCAATTTTCCCTTAAGTCTTTTACTCTTCCTTGGTCCTTTCTCTGCACACTCTTTCCCGGACAAAGCTCCTAGCTGATTCACGGGGCTACGTTTCTAAGGGGCCGATGGCAGCCAGCTGGGGCAGTGGCCCCAACTGCTCCCACAGCAGGTCCTCCAGCACCTCGGCCGGCCGGCGGGGTGCCCAGGAACAGGCCCCAGCAGAACTTTTTCCTCAAATCCCAGCTTAAATGTGCGCCCCTGCCTCTTCCACCATTCACCCTTCCCTCTCCAGGATCCTCTTCTGCTGCAACGCAACCTACAGAGACTGCAACTGAACCAAAGGAGACGGATCTGACAAGTTTGGAGGCCGAGTTTCATTACAAATACCAAAAGCTACCAGTAGATGCCGCTCCTACTACGGCCCACGGGACCATTCGGGTGGGTGATTCAGCGCGAACCCAGCCTGACTGAGAAATGGGCACTTTCTCTATTTTGTCAGGAGATTAACTGGGAGTCTGGCGCACACTGGGGCATTGGGGAAGGGGAGGTAGGGTTGTTTGTTTTTGTTTGTTTGTTTAAAGAGTAACTTCCTTTAGGCCCCACTCACCCCATTTGTGCTTGGAGACAGAGACACAGAGCACAGGGAAAAGGGATGGCGAGAGGCCTGCGCGCCCCAAGCGCCCACCAGCGCACTCCGTTGTGAGATTTAAGCGCAACTCGGGTGCTCTAAACTTTTAAAAGCATCTGCCAAGGGGAGACATTTCTGAGGTTGTCAGGGGCCTCCTCAGCTCCGCAGATGTGTTAGCACAAGTCCAGGTGGGTAGGCACGTGAGGTGCCCATCCCAGTGGCGGCGAGTGAGCAGCTGGACCAGGGTGGCGGGTAACCAGGCCACTGTCATGCACCCTGGCTAGGACACAGCCGGCCCTCAGGAGGCCGGCGCTCCTCGGGGGAGCCCCACGGTTGGCCAGCGAGTGGGTGCACTGGGGTGACCAGGTGTGTTGGGAGCTGGTAGCGGGGATGGGGGCGGGGGGAGGGGAGAA